ACCGCAAAAAAACCGAACCTGTCTCTTATACACATCTAGATGTGTATAAGAGACAGAGACTAAGGAGAAAAGGAAAGAAACCGCTGCTAAGAGACATCAGACGGCTTACAATCAGCAATGCAAAAAACTCGGACAGAAAATTTTAGATGCTGATGACACTTGCAAGCAGTGTATTGATAAATGTCTTAAAGAGGCAAAAAAGAGGAAGACGGATTAGTACTGCCTTCTAAAAGTATTCTTTATCATCTGAATCGTCTTGGTATACCCATTGTTCAATTACTTATTTTTTCTGACGGGGACAGGACAGGGTTAGTCTTACTGGTTCTACAGACCTTCTAGGGGCTTACCTGCTAACCTACCTGGTTTGCTGTCTCACTGCTTCTGACAGATGAATAGACTGAATCCTGATCATATGACAGATTTATAACAGTATGACAGATCTGGGGTAAAATCAAAACTTTTTTCTGGAAATTATCCTCTCCCGATATTTCTGAAACATCTGTCATATCTGTCATATCTGTCATACCCCTCTGATTCCCTCTTATTTTCCTCTCTTTTCCCTTATTTTATCGTTTTTTAGTATATTATTATATGACAGATGTTTATGACAGATGGTGACAGATATATGGGGATTCCTGAGCCCCGTAGGGGCCATATAGGTACTGCGAGGCCGTGAGGCCGAGGTGGGTGGAGCGGTAGCAAGATCCACATCCAGCCCGACGACTATGTAGTAATAACAGAATGACCATTAATCTTATCACATTCCCAAAGCTCACATAAACGTTCACCTGCATGCCTAAAATTACAACGTCCAAGATCTTCATCCACGATAGTAACTTTTCCATTGATACTTCCAAGATGTTTACTATGTGCAAATGCATCCAACTCGATGCCTGCTAATTTACCAGAAAGTGACGCCATACTTCGTTCTACTGGATTGTAAGCTGATTGTCCTGGCGCATGTGTCTGAATGGTAAGGTAATCGAGATCAAGTTTTTTAAAAAGTAATAAGTATTTCAATATATTAGCAAGGAACCGAGGTTTTCATCTGGTCCACCATCTGTTAACAAACACCAAAATGGCTTTACAAAATCTTCATTATGCGTAAATTCATGGAATGGCTTCTCCTTTGCAATCGACATAAGATCTACCATGTGTGTTTTGCAAGATGTACCTAAAAAATGTTCCAGATGAATAAAAATTCGTACTTTACCAGAACATAATGAATCATTACTATCAGAAGGATTTATCAACAAATAGACGAAAGGTATCAACTTGTGCTTTGTAGCTTTTAGAAAATCGTAATCGTGTTGTTTGTATAGTCTTGAATGTTCGTCCAACAGCAGTTATTCCAAGAGGAACCTGTAAAACTCGAAAGTACAACTCAAGCTCAAATTACAATAGAAGAAAAAAAAGGTAAACAAGAGTACCTTTGCTTTATCATCTTGCGAAATCAAAACAACGTCTTGAGGAAAAGCTAATGCAAACATTTTCACTTCTTTAACTGATGCCAGGCAATAATAATGTTCATCAACATGACTGTTCATTTCATTTCTCCTGACGGCTGCAAAACAAATCTGTGAAGGGTGATGATGACGTTGTATCTCTTTTGTTGCTGGATGTCTGGGCTGCATGTAATTTTGCAACATAGTTCTTGCAAGGTATATATTATAGTTTTCTTCCATTTTTTCACGAAGATGCTTAACTGTTCGTACTTTGATTGTTTCTTTTCATTGTTTATAATCAGCTGCTCCAAATTCAACACAATCATGCATCTTTTCCAAAAGATTAGGATCTTTAACGAAAAATGATGGGTGACTAGAAGCATCATATATTTCCACAACATTTTCTTCCAATGCCGCCTTCTGCTTTTTTTTCATGTTCGTTGCTGAGCTGCTGCATTATCCCTTAATCGCTTGAGCTTCTTTTCTTTTACCGTTACAGTCTCTTCCAATTTTTTAATTTTTAAAGTAAAACTTGAACGAAGTTTCAGTGTAGATGCTGCTTGTAGCAGATTATTGTATTCGCATAGATCGTTCTTGACTTTTTGAAGATTTTCAAGTAGATGATTTTGTGCCGTTGCATTTGATTTAAGTTGTATATTATTAGAAGGTTTGGGAAGATTATTTATAGGCGTCAAAGGTGGTCTCGTCAAAAGTGGTCTTGGAGGTTCTACAGTTTTTTTTTGCGAAATAAAAGGGTACTAGGGTGAGGGTTGAATAGGAGTATGGAATAATTCAAAAATAATGTTTTGAATGGTATCTTTATCTTTTATCTTAATTTTACACCAGTTATCTTGAGCTTGTAGTTGCAACTCTCTTTTGTTTGGTGCTTTATTATGACTTTTTACCATTTCTGAGAATGCAAAAGCATTCACGTATTGTTCATAAAGATTTCCAGGTTTTTGAATAAGGTAGTTTTTAGAATATATTAATTCTTTAAAATACGTTTGCTTCATACCGCCTACGAAAAATTACATTTTTGATTTTTTGGATGTAAATTTTTTAAGATAAAACCTCTTAATATATACGCCGAAGCATATGAAGCAGATGAAATTGTATCACCAATCTATCGTATTGTCATCTTTCCTAAAATGGAAATAAAGATCTTGTGTAACATCATCCTGCGCCCTCCCCCTCCCCTAATTAGTTCCCACATAATCATACCAAAACTATATATTACTGAAGCTTTAGTATATTTTCATCCTCTAAGGACCGCCATAAATCTCATTATTATCATCTAATGATTCAATTGCTGCTGTTATTGATGGATAGAAATTATAGATAAAAATTATGGATTAAAATATTTCCACTATGATAATC